GGAAAAAGATGTTTCATATTTAATATACCGAAAGCTTCATTCCCTTATGTTTTTTAATGTTTTCATTTAAACCTAAAAAAGTAAAATGTCAAATACGTTTTTACATTTTACTTCATTTTAGCTTTATACGCTGGAATGTTCTCATTTCATGGCGAACATTTTTTTACAGTACTTGTGATTTCACCGTGTTTCAAGCCGTGTATTTATCATTCAGTTGCATCTGTCGACTGAAATCCAACGCGAAAGGCCAGTATGGATTACATGAAGCGGTATTAAACCTAACTGGGTCAATACATTGCTCTAATCTACCAATACGAGTGGTAGTGGCGAGGTGGAGATCGCTGACAAAACGATCCTACGTCACTGCGCATGTGTTATTACCAACGTTTTTCTTTGAGGACCGACGGATCTACCCACATGACTAGAAAAGTTCGCTACCACAGATGAAACACACGTTTTATGGGCCCTATATTTTGTTATATAAATCCCAGTATTTCACCGTTTGTTGGAATTCTTGTAACGTAAAATTTCTCATACATATAGGAGTGAAGGCGGGATTAATTTTAAAACTGTAGCAATAATAACAATAGATTTTCTTTTGAATGGAAAGAATATCTTATAAGTTATTGCAGAAAATGTATATGCATGTCTGTTTTCATTATTTCATGGCAAATATTACCCAAAAAATATATGTGGAAAGTTAAGATAAAATACGCAATGCGGGGTTTTGGAAGGAGATGGATTACAATAAGAAAAGTGTTTCGCTCCGTGTTTATTTCCACTCTTCGTTCATTCCTCCTTCATTTCCAAAACAGGGATGAACTGCGGTTTATGACGAAGAAGAGAGGCAGACCGGGCTTTATGCTCTGGGTACACAGCAAGTACTGGACATGGTGGAGCAGTTCGCATGGGAATGGTATCATTGGAACAAAACATAGCTCCTGAGTTTTGGGACTCCCACTTCGTTGTACGTGCCTAGTTCTGTAAACGTTTCGCTAGCTTCAAAAGTTTTCCTGATGGCTGTTGCTTTTCTTGGAAATCGGGCCCCAACTGGGATCTGAGAGAGACGCAGATGGAAAAACATTGGATATTCTCTCACAACCACCATCCTGCAGAGTTAAAAATTCCTTCATGTTAAAGTGGAATAACTACCATTCACATTTTAAGATATTTAAGAGTGTTCGTGGTTGTCTTTCTAGGTTGTGACGCATTGTAAAATGTTTCTGTAAGCTCCCAGAAAATTTGAACACTTCATTTTTATTTTAATATACCAGGAGATATTAAATAATATCTTATGAGTTTACACATCTGACAGCAGACATTATACTTCCGTTAGAGTTACAAAAAAAATTCTAGGTGAGATTTCAGGTTGTAATGGCAACGAGCATGAAGTTTACTGTCTTTTTGGGATATTGATCTGTGTAATCTGGTAGAAGCTTATCGACGTTTCAGAGGTGCTTGCTGCCTCCATCATCAACTCTGATGCACATCTGAAACATCGGTAAACTTCCACTTCTCATCTTCAAAGCTAATTCTTTTGCCTGCATGTTTGTCTCCGCCAGTAACGCTTGAAATAATTAGCCGATATTATGCGATAAACATCGGCCACTGAAAACATACGTAATTGCCATTTCATTTACTGTCCTGACAATGTGTTGGTCTTGCAAAAGTTTCGAAGTAGAAGTAACATCATGGCAACCTAAATTTTTGTGTATTGTTATGAATGCGATATATGAGTGTGTGTGTGTATGATATGTTTGTTATGTATGACTGACCAGGTTCTCAGTTAAGAAGGTAATGGCATACTGTTCTGTTTTATAAGTGCTGCTGTCATTAGACAGCAGTTAGAAGTGCTTATAAAGTAAATTCAAGTACAAAATGAATAAGTAAAGGCAATGAAAAAACCGGGTTTACTCCGACTGGTGTTCTAGTATCCGAAATTTATTAAATTTTGGCTTGCCACAAGATGTTCTTCTGCCACCATTTTCGCAGTCCCAAACGCACAAAGAAATTTACTCCGTTGAAGATATTTAGGTCTATGTATGTTCTAAGACGCTACATAGAATGGTCTCACAGTTCCATACAGCCATTATACTGTTGATTGTGAAGACATTGTCAAATTGAAAGTGGCATGCTATATTATAAAGTCACTGCCTGTTTTAGAAAAATGAAAAATTTAGTCAAAAGTTATTATTTATGAATATCCAAAGACCTTCGCTATTAATGTTTTACGAAACCGGGGGTAAAAAAAGTTTTCAAATTCTGGGGTATCATTAAACTATTACCAAAATATAATTCAGCGTAGTGTACAGTGATATTTATGTATTATAATAATGAAGTAATTTTAAGACTTACGATGTGTCCGTAAGAAGAAGGAAGGAGGCCTGCTCCTATTCTACAGTTTCCTGAAATTGGGAGTACTTAGGCAAGTCAGACCGTCGCTGGCCTCTGCTTGTAGTGGACAGCAATCAAGAAAATGTTCTAAAATATCTGATTAGCGTAATAATTCTGACACAGTGGCAGAATTTGAACTTTGGCCTTTGTGAATGGCCGGATAATTCACAGGGTAGACATTCTCCACATAGTGGTTTAAGCGCGCAATACCGAATGTCGGCCTTCCTATAAAGTGCCGAAATTGAAGGTGCTTGACCGTTGTTTGTAAACCTTCCCTATACAAAATCTCATTAAAGTCCGTTCAGGCGTTTTCTAGTTACTATCTACGTACGGACGGACAAAACTGTTTCAGTAGGAGCTCCGCAATCCGCGAATGTACCTAAGACTATGGAAACCGATTTCATTAACGGTGATTTATTGCCCGAGCGGCCACTTTGATCGTCTACCAGACTTAATCCCAGTTTGAGTGGTTAGTTGTTTGATAACTTTTGTATCAATGACTGATCTGTGTAGTTAATTAAATACGCTCGCCGTAATGTTGCGTGCTCTTGTACCGGAAGAGTACAGTCATCGATAATAAAATACATGCGTGTTACTGGTTGGAACGTTGTGCAAATTGTAACTCCTTTACGATGTATGTTTCTAACGTTAGCCATGTTATCGATAGCTTTAATTATTTTTAAAGCAGGTCGCTTGTTTTAACATCATATCATATTGCTGTACCCCTATATTATCATTATATTCGTTGTAATAGGATGTCCTATGGTCATGTCATTTGTTTGAACAGCCTTAAAGATTTTGCAGAAACTCATAATAAATAGTGAGTAGGTACATATAACATGTTCTATGTATTAGAAGTTAGTGTGACTGATTCTACATTACACGATACTAAATTACAAAAAGAGAATCAGGACTGGGGGCAAAAATGATTCATTTGCAATTTTTACTTTCATGAAATGTGGACAAATAGAACGCGAAATTGGATTGCTTTAGAAAGGAAGAACATTTTAAAGCGAGGAAAGTATGGAAAACTTGTGTGTCACAAGCATATATGTCAATGAACCTTGGGAATCCATGTAGATGTTTATTAGATTCGTGAATTGATTCTCTGACGGCTCAGATAGTGAAGCTGAGTGCATTTCGGACATGACTTTGTTTTCTGAGACCATTTTATGTCAATAAATGTGTAAATTTAAAATCAAACAATGTATGATTTTATTTGTCTCATATGTTATGTAATGAAATACGTGGAACTGATATCTTGAGAAGTGGTTCATTAGATCAGAAATTTCTCACCTCTTACGAAATTGGTCAGTTTATAACGTTGCTTACAAGAGAACCGAAACCTGTTAATCGTTATCATTTTATTATCTTGTTATTATATTTATATATTATATTATTGTATAGGCGTAATTAAATGAATTAATATTATTAACAACTCTTTCGTGTAATAATTAGTTTTTTAATATTTTTTAAAGGAGCGTATTGAAGAATTTTGTTATATTGTCATTTCAGACAGTTCTTTCAGGTTGCTTGACTGTGTTCCTGTGGAAAGTAATATTATTTTCAAATCTGTCTTTATTACATGTTCGAATCCTTGCGATGTTCTTGAGCTGGCTCTTGACAACTCTCATTGCCTTCATTTAACTCGCTATAAGAGAATGAATTTTGTATTTATAATGTAAACGTGTACTGACCTAATCCAGATATCAAACATATGCACACATACAGAGACTCACACGTTTATATCGTATTTAGATAAGCTGTACAGAATGAAGTACTGAGGGGAAAAAACAGTAACACGTTTTCTGTTACGCGAAACATTGTAGAAAAACAGAGACTGTGAAGATAAGAGAACGACAACACAGTAATGTAAATTGGAATAGTGGTAACTATGATACTAACAAAAAGCTGTGTTTAAAAGATGCCAACATCTTTTTGTAAGTAGGTGTTTACCTGCCGAAACAGTCAAAATTTTGCGATGTATTTTTATCTTATTGAAAGAAATCAACCGATTTTGTTTGGTGTTGTAAGAGTTTTGTGTATATTCTTTAGATATGTTATAATCATTTAAATGGGACAGTGCTAAAAGTGTAGTCAGTATGTTCCTCCGAAACATTGGTATACATAGTATCTAGAAGTCCACGCGACATTTAACGCAGAAACAATATCGAATTTAAAGTTTAAAATGAAACTATGGACCTATTATAATATTTTAATTTTAAGAAATGTTATCACCTTTATATTCTTATAGATAAATATTTTTTTTTACATTTAATTTCGTCGTTTTATTTTCGCAAAAGTCTGCGCATTAAATACTTGCCTCAGAAAAGAACGTTATACAGTCAGTTTTAGAAATTACGGTCCTGCAGCCTAAATCGGGAAGAAACTGATCTATCTGCATGAATGTAGACTATAATTGTAATTATTGGAGTCTTAATATTAGGCGTGATTGCAATTCTAATTGCCAGTACTCACACGTACGCGCCCGGTTGACCGAACTTCTCATTCGTGGAAAAGGAACGTTTGTGCGTGGCGTTGGTCTAGCGTTGTAAGCGAGCGAGGGTCCTCTTGAATTGAAATGACACAAACCGGATGTTATGCAGAAGCCTGTCTGGCTGACAGCATTGTGCAGCTCTCTCTTTATGAGAGTTGGCATCTCGTCTTTCCTGATCCTTGAAATGATACTACTCCAAACATCTTCGATTTATATTTTATTCAGTACTTAACTGCTTACACTTACATTGTCTAACATCGCTGCTATGATATCACAAGATCATTTAATTCTCCCCTGTTAATAAACTTGAAATTATTGTGTCATAACTCCATAGCAGACTGTGATATCAATTTATTGTTTGATTGTTCTGCCTGTGGTACAAACCGAAATTTAATTAACGTCGCCACAGATAACCCACCATTAGACCTAGGCTAAAAAGAGTCAAATGTACTAACACCCTGATAATCAGCGTACTAAGACCCATTTGAATATTTATTTCAAAATCAGATCTCGGTATCCCAAATAGCTTTCTTCCATGAGTAGTGCAACAAAAATGTTATACGCATGCCTGTTATATAAGGAAGGATGGAACGAAAAATCATATAGCAAGACATGCTTTTATTTAGGTTTAAGTTCATTTCATTTTATCATACCCTGGCAACACTATGGATTGAGTGCACATATTTACGCTCACAAATAATTAAATATAATCATGGCACGCGCTGTTGTCGTTTATTCGTAAGTAAAAAATTCTTAATTTCTCTTAACATTCCCTCTAGTAATAGTTTTTTATTATTTTCAAATACCGAACAGCTGTTTTTCTATTTTGGCTATGCAATTATGATTTTATATACTTTTTTACTTACTTCATAATCCTCTATGATATTTGTTGTGTGAAAAAGATAATCATGGATTAAAGGAGACGCTGAATAATCATAAACTTTTAACATAACCTTAAATATTAAAAGATTTTCCTGCGATTTTACAGGAATTAAATATCAGTACATCACACAGAACGATATCATATCTGAAACAAAAAAATGACAAAGCACGACTGTAATTTACAGTGATTAGGTAACGTCATGAATCTCACATTACATGCTGAATTAGCTTGACTCAATTTATTTGTAAAATTTTAAAGGAAATTAACATGCAGTAAATAAACTCGGTTTGTTACATATCAGTTACGTTGGCGAGAGAATTTTTTATAAATAATCACAAACCGTCATTATTTGTAATTAATTGTTGATTCTTGTAAAAATGCTGTTGGTTTTTAACACAGGAACTAATTGTGTGAATACATTACTGTGGAATGCTCTAAGATACTTCTTTAAGTTTAATGAATAATTTCTGAACGAAAATGCTGACCAGAAACAGGTAATTATGTTTTTTAATGCAGGTCTACGTAGACATAGGATCTGAGATAAAGATATCTCGTTTAAAAGATAATTCTAATTCTTTTCTTTACGTTTATTTTAACTAAAAGGAGCGAAGAACGCAACTACAAATAATTTAATTTTTCGAGAATTCCCAGCCAAGATTCTTATTAATTTTCTGTTATGTCCATATTTTAATTAGCCTATTATTTTTGTAAGGTTTCGTAATTAGACATTTAGGCTTAGTCTTTTTTGTAACTAGAATATAAATTTTATAAAGATAAGATTCCTTTCTTCTGAAAGAAGTAAAACGTATAAGAAAACCGCAATAGGAGAGATGAGGAAAGAAGTCTTGCTTTGCTCCGTAGAAATATGAGGCTAAATTTTTTTTTAAAAAAAACTACTTCCCCCAAACCCTTTTAAGACTTCTGCTCCGAACGTAAACAGGATGAATGCATAATTTTCCCGTGATTTGATATTTTTGTAGGACTGTGGAAGAAAATGCTCTTTTATTATGTATAAAAGAAGTTAAAGGCAGCTTCCGTGATTCTTCTTATAAAAATTTAACCATGTGTCACTAAATTAAATCTTGTTTAGGTTTCTAGATTTAAATCAATCTTGTTGCAGTGTTTTGTGTTCTTTTACCATTTTCAGTTGCCGATGTTCAGCTAGTGAAATAAAAACTTTTAAACCTTTGAATCTGAAGCTCGTATGAATAATATTTAATAATTCAGGTACAAAGATTCAGGAAAGAGGAGAATTTACAAGGGATATCAAATAGAAATATTGACCTTAAGAAAAATGTAGCTGTACGAAAATGTTCAAAATACTCCAATTTCTTAGTTTTGAAGCGGTTTGTAGCTTCGCGTTGTCCTGCTAGAGTTTGTGTAGGCTTGTGTGTTCAGTATTGTACTTTTAGTTGGTTAGAGAGAAGGCTGACTGGACGGGCGAACATCGTAAAAGACACAGCCACCTCAATACTGCCATCACTGTGAAGTGCCTGCTCTAGTACGCTGCATATGACCGTAGAGGCACTGAACCACTCGGATCATACTGTGTGCGCCTGCGCAGCTAGATTCATAAAACATTTGCCACAAGGTGAAAGAAAGACTTACCAATGGAGACTGTCGGTGTTACATAGTTTTTTTGTGTATCACCTTGTTATAGTCTATAGCATAAAAATTTTCAACAGCTTTACCTTAATTTTATAGTATAATTTTCTCAATGATTTTATAAAGCACGTTTCTATAAAATTTGAAAAATTAAAATGGTGCACTTATGTCTGTTGAATTAATATTTTGTATAAGTTCATTTTTCTAGTCTTAAGATACGTGTTGTCTAAGTTTACTTTACGGTAAATGCACTCTTGGTGGATTTAAGACCTGCTTCTGTCTTTCAAAGAAAGCTGTATTTTCCATATAGAATTTGACGAAAATTGCGGGTTTCTGTGCGTATTTCTTGGATTTTAAATTTCGAAATTTATGCAATCTTCATGAAATGGGTTAAGAAATTACCATTAGAAAATAGTACAACTACTAATTTAATACTTTTTACAAGCAACATATGAAATTACGGATGCAGAGATTTCGTTGAGTTTAAGTGATTTCCTAGGTAGAATTAAAGACAGTTAATATTCACGGCTTCTCACATTTATCAAGATTGTACGGGAGAACACTGAATAAAATTGTTCCTGGTCTTCTAGGTTGTGATGTCGCCATGTTTTATAGGTAGTTACCATCGCCCTGGATTAATGTATCATTTGCATTTGAACCCTGAAGTTGGAGGCAGTACATTCCTCCGGAGCGTTCGTAACCTGCAGAGTATCACAACGCAGAAGACCATGAAAAACATCTCGACCTCCTTGAGAATCTCAAAGAGATCTGCAGCTAGTTTGTAGGATTAAAATGAACTGGAAGATTCCAGATATCGGCCTCCAGTTTTTTCCGTGACTTTTGTATATTATTAGATCTCACCTAATTTGTTAAAGCTTAATATGCACAAAGACTAAATTATATTTTAAATTAAATAAACATTTTATTACTTTTTAAAGTTGATTTGCGGTTAATGAGCCTTATGCTGGTACTAACTGGCTTCCGCTTTTGATCGTGTACTAAATACATCGATATACTTATGATCTGTTGAGATTGTTTACATTCGCAAAACAGAATATGTTTCAGTGATTCGTTTATTTATGCTATGTATTTCATTCTATTCTTGTTTGTTTGCATGTTTCGTGAGCATTTTCCTTCTTCGGCACTATACTTTCTCCATTTCTTTGCAACGAAAATTAAGGATTACCCGGACCTGTTGTTACAGATAAATTTTGTCTCAGGAACTCAGTTATTTTGAACAATAAAACCCGGATAAATTCCAAGATGAGTTAATCTTTTCCACCCACTTTATCTGGAAAGTATTGTTTATATTATAAGATGTGATTTATTTTATTGAACTGTGCTAAAAATATGTAAAATAAAATTATGCTTTATAATATCGTTAAATATTTGCGAATTATTATTCCAATGGAAATATATAAACCTAATCTAACACATTTTGGGGAGTTGTTTATATTTTGAGAACTGTCACCAAAAGCTGAATTTGACTCACGCGTAACACAGTTTATGAATCCCACTTACTACTTACTGCAGTAAGATTAAATATGCCTTATTATTGTTAGAGCAAACCCATTATTTTTCCAACTCACTCCAATTGTGCAATGTTAAGTGCAGGAATATAAGCTATTTACTCCTGATTAATAAATAAGATCTTATCGCTTGCCATTCTCCGGCAATGGTCTCACTGAAATGAAAGTAACTTGTATTTAAATTCACAAATTCGAAGGGACTCTAAGAACCAAACATGCATTTTAGAAGAGGATTAGTTAATCAGTTGATTTCTGGTTTTAAATTGTGCTACTTTTTCAAGACAGAGAGTGGAGACAAGACAGTTTGAGAAGAGTGAAATAAATTGGGTGTCAAATATCTCTAATGCTGTGTGCAAGACGAACTTTTTACTCTTTATCATATATTGATAATCTAGCTGCATACAAGACCGTGGTACTGATAAGGACGTGTATGAAATGCAAATGTCGTGCAAAATTTTCAGAAGCTAATCAACGACACGCCGATCATCCGGCAGTAACGGCGTCCTCTCCTACTCAACTTTGTGGTAGTATACAAGCGAATCTTAAAACACTTTTACCTTTCACCTTTTACCTTTCACGGTTGCCAGCACAGTGTTATCGCTGGCTTCCAGGGTTTGAGCTACCTCCAGTGAAGGTTTGCAGTATGCGTGATATACAAAGTGCATTGAGAAAGGATTTTTGTGTGATTTCCTTATCTCAATTATGAAGCCTAATGAACTTTTTCTAGGGTAATGACGTACATTTGTTCTAATAGTTGAAGCAGGGTCGTTATATAAGTACATGCAATCGTAAGGTTAAAAATACGATGAGAATTGGATTGAAGAAGTTCGAATTAGATAAAGCTACGTTGTCGAGTAAGACGTCAATAATTTCTTACCAGTATATGATTTTTCTCGTAGAGAAGACAACATAAGCGTGTAATACGTGAGTACCATATGTAGGGTAGTTCATAAATCCTTTTAAGGTCCAGTGGTAATTATATGTACCACTTACAATAAAAATACACAGTTTATCTATGGCTTTCATATTATTCTCACTGTAAACAGCGATAGTTTCCAAAACACCCTTAACCAACTTATATTTGTAATGGACGTGTGTTTTCTTTGCGACACC